AAAAAAAAAAGAAGCAAGAAAAAAAACTTGAGGGGAGAAAAATATACCAAACAAATGGAATCCATAAGAAAGCTGGAGGGGCAGTAATAATCTCCGATAAAATAAACTTCAGGATGAAAATCATCATAAGAGATAAGAAAGGACACTGTATCATGATTAAAGGGACAATATACCAAGAGGACTCATTCTTAACATCTACATACCTGAGGCTATACCAGCAAAACACATAAAACAATAGTGAGCAGACTTGGAGAAACAGGTATCACCACAGTGGTAGTAGGAGACCTCAAGCCACCACTTGCATCAAAGAACTGGTTAACTCAAAAGAAACCCAAGAAAGATGCAAAAGTACTAAATTATATAATCTGCCAACTCTACATCAGAGACATCTTCAGGATATTTCACAGAACAAAAAAATGCAATTTACTGTCTTCTCAAGTTCACTTTCTCAGTAGAATTCTCTTTACAAGTTCCAGAATCGATCACATATTTGCACACAAAGCAAGCCCCAACAAATTAAAAAAACACTGAAATAATACCTCAAACTGTAGTACCATAAAGATAGAAATTAACAAGCTAAATAACATCTTGCTTGAGCATAAAGGGGTTTAGAAGAAATAAAAACTGAAATAAAAAGTGCCTCAAATAAATTAAAATTAAAATACAACATATTTAAACCTCTGGGATACAAATAAGCAGGCCTTGGGCAACAGTTTATAGCAATAAGTGACCAAATAAAAAAAGTAGAAAGGAGTAAAACAGACTACTTAATAGCTCCAGCAAATAATAAAAAAGAACAATAGGTTAATTCCACAGTCTCTAGAAGGAAGAAAATTATAAGGATATGGGCTAGAATAAATGAAATAGAATAGAGTAAAATGATTGAAACCCTAAACAAAACCAGGATCTGGTTCTTCAAAAGTGGGGTTGTTTTTAATTTTATTATTTTGTGTGTGTATACCGTCAAATCGCATCTGACTGGTACAGGAGCAGATTGTCCCTCCTTTTCAGCAGAGGGTCTGGTGGATTTGAACTGTGTGCCTCTGGGATTGCAGTGCAGCTTCTTGCCACTAGGCCACCAAAAGTGTTAATAAAATAAACTATTGGCAAGCTTAATAAGAGAAAAGGAAGAAAAGGTACTAATAACCTATATAAGACATTAAAGAGGTCCCATCACAACAAAACAAGGTAAACCAACAAACTGATATTATCAGAATATTATGAAAAGATATATTCTAATAAATTTGAAAACCTAGAGGAACTTGAGAAATTCCAAGAAACCCTCACTCTACTCAGATTGGCACAGACATATTTAGAATACTTGAATCAAACACATCCGGAAAGAAGACACTGAGCAGATTATAAAAAGGTTGCCCCCACCAAAGAAAAAAAAAAATGAAAGTCCTAGGAATTATACCAAACATTCAGAGTCAAACTATCACAACTTTATTAAATTATTTTTAAAAATAGTAAATGAAGGAACACTCTTAGAGTCATTGTGAAGCAAGCATAACTCTAATACCAAAACCCGGCAAGATAGATATCACAGGGGGAAAAAAAATCTAGCAAACTCTAGACCAGTATCACTCATGAACAGAGATGTAAAAATCCGTGACAAAATCCTGGCCAATAGAATCCAACAGGATATATATATATATGAATTCATCATGATCAAGTGATTTTCATAACAGGAATACATTTTGGTTCAAAAAACCCCAATGTAATTCATCACATTAACAAAGTAAAGAACAAGAACCACGTGATCTATTAGTTGATGCACAAAAAGCCTTTGATATAATCCAACATCCTTTCCCAATTAACACATTCAAAAATATAGAAATAGAAGATATTTTTATAATCTGTCCTGCTATTAATAGCAGGTTATTTATGAGAAGCTTCAGGTCAGTGTACTACCAAATGCTTAACCAGTTGTATAACTCCATACTTTCTATTAACAGCTCCTTCTCTTGCTCAGTTCCCCAATTACTCTAATTCTTGTGGGTTTGAAGTTTTGCTAGAAGGTCATCCAGGGATTCAGACCCCTCGGGGTAATGACTCACATGACTGTGGATATGCAGGCCAGGTGATTGGGTTTTTTATTTTGTTTGGTTTTATTGGGGTTTTTTGACATTTTTTGGGGTAAAAACTGGTGAGCAATGGCCAGGCTGGATGTAGCAATCTTAAACACAGTTATGCTGTGTTGGTGTTTTCACACAACCTCTAGTGTGGAGAATACTCTCTATATTGCTGCTTCAGCTGTTAATTAGGAAGACTATGCTGATTTGCAAGACCATGTATTTGCAGTTAATGTACCTGGAGACCAGAGGGGCTAACTAATGGCTAAAAAGTGTCTCCTTTCAGGCTAACACCACAGAAGGAAATTTCTTCAACATAGTGAAAAGTATCTATGCAAAACAAAGAGCCAACAACATTCTCAAGGGAGAGAAACAAAGACATTCTCCTTCTAAATGTTCAAAACCACTGGCAATTAGAGAAATGCAAATTAAAACGGCAATGAGATATCATCTCACCCCAGTAACAGTAGCAAAGTTTAACAGGATAGAAAGCAGTAAATGTTGGAGAGAATGTGTGGAGATTGGAAATCTCCTGCATTGCTAGTGGAATTGTAAAATGGTGTATCCACTCTGGAAGGCAGTTTGGCATGTCCTCAAAAAGCTGACCATAAAAATACAATATGACCCAGGTATTCCACTGCCAGGAATATAGCCCAAGGGAAATAGACCTGAGACACAAATGGAGATTTGTACACTTCTGTTCATAGCATCATTCAATTTCTGCAATATCAAGAAAATGGGAACAGTCCAAATGTCGATCAACAAATAAATGAATTGAGAAATTAAGGTACATTTACACATTGGAATAGTATGCAGCACTAAGGAGCAACCATTTTGTAAAATATTACATAACGTGAAAGAGTCTAGGGAGCACTTTACTGAGATACTGAGTGATCTAACTCAGTCTCATGCAGACAAATACTGTGTAAAACCATTATTGTAAGAATTGGAGAATCACTAGTAAGATGTGTACAAATATCCAAAAG